GCTCATCTCTGCTCACCTGATCGGACTCGGTGAGCATCCAAAGCACAAAACCGATCACGGCGGGATATAACATGGAGGTGGTGTAGAAACCCAGCCAGGCAAAATACATGGCAATCTTCACCCCGAAGTAGTCGCAGATATCATCTGTTTGTGAGATCGATAAGATAACGGTGAGGCAAACAGCAAAGTCAGAGATGGAAACGGCGTAAAAGCGAGCTTTGATTTATTAACCTAACGGCTGCTTCTCACAAACAGCCTGGACCCAAGACTTCATCAGCTGGCTGAGGATCCTCTGCTCATGCAGAGGGAACACCTGCTGGATCACACCTCTCGCGCTCAGCTCCGGGACTGCAGAGAGCAAAGCGAGCAGCAAAGCATATTTAAGCTGATGAGTTACTTTATTTAGTTAGAGAGAGAAGCGCTCGAGGAGAGGAAAGCATAACTGCAGTAAACAATCACACACGCCGCGGCCTGCTGAAGATAACGGAGCTTTTAGCTCTGATCACTTACTGATTGGCTGGCCTTCCAGGAAGCTGATGTTATGAAGCACCTCCCCTTGTTTGGCACGTAGGTTGTCCAGCCAGTATTTAATGATGCTCTGCCTCTCCTGCAGCCGCCGAGAAGAGGAGGAGGAGGAAGCAACGTGAGAAAAAGGTTTCCCAGTGCAGGTACCTGGGAATAACTGGAGTCGCACTGACCTGCGAGGTGAAGAAGCACAGCTCGCTCTCGATGTTCTCGTAGATGTAGTCCTCCTCGCAGGAGAAGCTCCGTGTTCCTCCGCCGAACTCGGGTTTCACCGCTTTCCTCAGTCCCATTTCCTCGGCGCCTCGCAGCAAACTGCATGACAACATCAGGCAGGTTTTTTTAAGCCGGCCTCAGACGCCCACGCTACACGTTTAATCTGTGTCATCTGCAGCGCATTAATCTCGTCTAATTAGACCTTTTGTTTCTAATTGCCTACGCGACGACACCCGGGCTCTCACACTCTGCTGGTGGTTACGCCGCACATTATGGAGGCGGCGAGAGGAATAATGGGAGTAATTGCATAGTAACAGCAACACGCGGTGTTGTCTCTCTTTTTACAGCTATGAGTTATAAACATGTATGGATACTGGGATGGTCCTTTTTTCTTCTAACATGTTGGTTAAACTGATGATTGACACTAAAAATAATCCCAATAATCACCTGATTTATCTTAATTCACAGCACTGCAGCACTTCTGTTTGGCCACTTTTCCACATTACTAAAAAAACAATGGTTTGTCCTTCAGCTCATCTCATTTCCCATCATGCCTCCCTGCACATCTTCCATCCCCATGCTCTCGTCCTCTTTCATGCCCACGCTGTCTTCTCTCAGCCTCCCCTCTTCATCCATCGCTCTCCTCCCCTCCTTCTATCCCATCATCCTTTTTTCCATCTCCGTCCGTCCTTCCCGCCGGCCTTGTGCTGAAATCTCAATAATAATGCAGCTCCCTCTCTGTTCCCTGCAGGCTAAGAGCTCACCTCGCCCTCACATGTATATATAGTCTTTACACGCACACACAAAGACGTACGGCCGATGTGTAACAGCCATCCATCATGCAGCTCCATGCGCTCGCAGGGGCAGCACAAAGAAGCGCGGACGGCACCTGATGGATTACAGCAGAAATCTGAGGTGTAAGCTTGTGTTTCACGCCTGAATACTGCTTACAGCGCACAACCGTCACAATAAAGCTCATTGTGTGAGGAAGAAAAAAACGAGGCTTTATCTGTTTAAACCAACTGTTTAGTAATCGAAGCCAAAACCAGGAGGCCTTTTAGAGGTGTGCAGCTGCTGCCAGGAATCTTAATGAGAGTCTCTCTTTTCTTATTTCATCAAAAAGTGTTCAGCTTTTTAACAAGAAAATACAAAAACACAAAGAGAGAAAGTCTTACAGTGAGGCTGGACGCAAAGTGTGGACAAAGCTAACCTTGTAAAGTAATACTGCTGATGGAGAGCTCTGCGTGTTTATGCTAATGCAGGTAATGCAGGAACTCAGCAGATCCAAATGGCAAACCGTAAACTGCCCCGTCAGAGCAGCAGAATGAGTAACTGATGACATGTCAGGTAAGAAAATGTTCTGTTACAGCTGAATTTGCTGCTTTCAGTTAAATGTATGAAGCCTTTCTGAAAATAACGCACAAAACACTCCCACACGTACAGCTGATAACAACGTGATAACAACACGACTGTAAATCATGTGACGATATGAAAACATACTGAACACATGGCACAGCTGAACATGTCCAACAAAACTAAAACAGGACAGGATTTTTCACACTTCTTCATGGTGGACTGGGAATCATTATCCGAGGGGAATTCAAGAGGACGTGGAGTACTTTCTGGGTTATGATTTCTACCACATAAAATGTAGGTCAACCAACCCCACAGCAGGTGTGTGTGTGTGTTTACATATCTTTGTCGGGACTCAAAATGTGGTTTTAGTGTCAGGGTTACAGTTAGGTTACAGTTAGGCTGAGGGTTAGGATTAGGCATTGATTTTTTATGGTTACGGTAGGAGCTAGGGAAAGCATTATCCCAATGAGATGTCCCCACAAAGATATGAAAACACGTTACGGTGTGTGTGTGTGTGTGTGTGTGTTTGTTTGTTTGTTTACATATCTTTGTCGGGACCAAATGAGTTTGAGACTCAAAATGTTGTTTTAGTGTCAGGGTTACAGTTTGGTTACGGTTAGGATTAGATTTTTCATGATTACAGTAGGAGCTAGGGATTATTATTATAGGCATTATCCCAATGAGATGTCCCCACGAAGATATAAAAACACGTTACGGTGTGTGTGTGTGTGTGTGTGTGGTCAAGCAGCACTTTCTTTGAGCTTTTCATCCAAACCCCACTGGCACACTT